TAGAATCACAGAAGAGAGCTTCCAGGCTTCCGTCCTGAACTAGAAACCAGTGGCTCTCCAAGAACCTCCCAGGTTTTTGGTGCCAAACAGGGACTGCCAAGACACCTAGCCTTGTGGACTGAGCAACCATGGGGCTGCCCCCACTGAGAGACAGCTACTGTGGGATTCATTCCTACTGCTGAGGCACCAAGCCGGAAGGACTGAGCAACAGCTAGTTCCTCAGCCTCCAGGTGTGATTCAGCTGTTACTATTTTAACATAAGCTGATTTAACAAATTATTTTATGGGTTTTTTTTCCATCACATTGGTCCTGTTCCTATAGAGAACCCTGACTAATACAACAATTTTAGTTCCCTTGAAAATAGTTGAGATATCTAAATTCTTTAGTTTTTAAAATAACAAAAGCATTTCTCTAAAATTCCAATACTAATTTTTGACTTTGTAAGAAAATTAACTGTTAAATAGAAATTCAAAAAGACAAATGCAACCATTTGTTTCGAAAGCTAAAATTCTACCCAGTTCTTATGACTAAGAGTACCTCATTTGCAACTAAAATCATGCTAAGACATTAGTTTCTAAGTACATAAGCCCCATCCCTCCAGACTGATGGCTCACAACCATGAAAGGGGCAAAGTAAAACCAAGCCAGATCTGCAGAGACTCTAGACACCTGAAGGGAAACCAACATAGAGGTCTCCCAGCATGCATCAGGTCACCAAGCAGAACCCAGGGAGTGGCCAGTGAGTTTCGGAGCTCTCTGTGACTCACAGGAAGACAGTAGTCCCAGACTCCGTAGTGAAACATACCCATCACCTACCTGATGGTATGAGAAGCACGGGGCTGCAAGCTCATAGACCCCACTGCAAGCATTTAACATTCACCAGTGTCCCCTGAGTTCCAAGGACTAACCCAGCCCTGTTTGTAGGCCACGTTTGCTACACTCTGCCCATCCAAAAATGCAAAACAGACTACAGAGGACCAACCTGTGGGAAGCTGGCAGTGGGCGCCATATTCTTGTTCCTATACTAGATACTTCCTAAAAAAAAAAAGTCATTTTATGAAATGCTGGCTTTCCTTATTTGGTTTTGGTTTTTGTTTGTGTATTCCAGATAGGTTTTATGCAGCACAGGCTGGCCTTGAGTTCATAATCCTGTCTCAGCCTCTCAAGTCCAGCCAGTCACTTAGATTTGCTCAGATAGGAAGCTCCCTGGAGTTGCCACACCCACAAAAAGTTAGGGCTGGCTATGATGTCTGTCTGCTGCTGATTTCCTGCTGGACGACTGGCTCATGTCACGGCCATTGTTCCTATTCACAGCTAGCATCTCCACACAGGGCCACAAGGAGAATGCAGACCTCAGAGGTTGACCTGCTGATTTCACTTGAACCCAAGCGAGGTCCTAACAGTTATGTCTTGCCCCAGTGGCCTCATGCTGCCTCTCACTGTGAAGACACACTGGGCTTGGTGGTTTGGTGGCTTGCCACAATGTGACGTGCAGATGCACTTCTCTTTTGAACCCAGGAGTAGTTGGAGGAAGGTGATGTCAGACATGGTAGCTAGTGGAGTCTCAAGTGTGGGGACTGGGTGCTTCACCCTTCAAGGTCTCCTTCCCTGGATGTGGTGAGATTTTTCCAACTTCCAGACTCATTTTTATGTATACGCGCCATAAAAACCAGTATATCTAAGGAGAAATAAAATGGTCTCATTGCACTGGATCAGCCCAGAGGGTGTGGTCAGAACACTACCTGGTGCAGGGTAATGCCTGGTCTGGAGGGAATCCTACATGTAGGATGCAGGACTCAGCAGAGGCAGATGGGACTGCTGGAGAATCTAGAACACCATACCTGCCACACACAGCCACAGGGAGAACACAGAAGCAGGTATGTGCACTACAGAGGCAGCCCAGCCTGACCCAGCTCTGTGCAAAGCCTTCTGGGTTATGGCGATGAGGAGACTGTGGGGCCATGTCTCAAGAAGTGCTGGGAACCTGTAACCTCTTCATTCATTTGCTTAATTGTTGAAGTGACTAATGTCACATTTAAATAAACACTCCAAGTTATAAACGCATTGCACTTAGTATTTTCTGTGCTCTTTTCTAGGATATGTTTAGTATATTCCAGAAAAAAAAAAAAGCAGGAAAAAGTCACCCCATACCCCTACACCTCCGTGTGTCACTTGCTGTGTGTCCGGTGTTGTTTTCCGCTCACTGTGGGTCTGATATAAGTAGGGGGCTCTTGGTTCCAACTGTGATGCGTCCACATCGGAGCAGAATGTGTGGAAGAACGCAGAAGCAACAGGTACACTAGCTGCAATGGGAGGAGCTTGTGTTTTAACGATAAGCTGCAGCAAGATCAGTAAAGTAACTCCTCACCAGCATTTTTTCTTCTGGTCTCAGGACTCTGTGTAGCAGAGAAGTAAAAGTATAGGCTGGCGACACCAACAGATGGACCCTGTCGTCCTTAGGCCCTGCGGCTCTGTTCCCTCTTCTGTGGATGACCCGCCTGCTGCGGCCATAGTGTCAGCCTTGTCAATCAAGGCAGGACCAGCCCCTGGTGGATGTCAGCTACGGGGAGGAACTTCTGATAAGCCTTGGGATGCTGAAGATGTAGTCTACACAGACGAGGAGGATGTGCTGTCAGGGTTCCCCTGACTGATGCAGGCTTTCCGTAAATGTGATGCCTGGTGGTAATTCACACAGTTTATGTCTCCTTTCCCAATAGAACTGGAAAGACCATAAACCAGAGCAGTAGGCAAAACTCCTCCCTGCAATGAAACTGAAAGGGATCCCTGTGATGCCAGGGGAAGGCTCAGCACCAGACCCCTTCAGTTAGGAAGAAGCCTTCCTTGCGCACATGGGTGCCAAACCGTGACCTTGCAATGGACGATCTTCCCTGGCAAGCGTTTCCCCAGCATCCACATTTCTGGGCTTCTCTGTAGATGCCTGAGGAGAGAGTACCTATAGGCCTGTCCCTTCTGTCCCCAGTGGGAGCCAGAAAGGATGGGAAGGTCATGAAGACAGGCTGCCCACGGACTGAACATATGCTCTGCTATGAAGTCTACCAGGGATTCCCCACACCTTTACTATAGCACAGGGTCAGAGAAAGCATCCAAGGCGAAAAGCCAAACAAAACTAAACCAGTGAGTTCTTAGTTACTACACAGAGGCTGGCAGGTATGGGCTGTATCCTCCCAGACCACAAGGTCCCGGCCATAGTGGTTAATCGTTAGTGGACAAAGCGATTGGTTATCGTCAACGCTAATTTATGATGAAAGCCAGGGAACATTCACAGCTTTACCAGCCTTAGATACCGCTTCCTCCATGCAGGCTTGTATATGCCTCCTCTTCCCAGCTCTGGGACCTCAGGCCAGGGCTGGAGAAAGGGTCTCTGAGCCCCACTGCATGCTCCTTCCGCTGCACTTACTAACACAGCTACCAACCGGTAGTTTATATGCTGTTTCCCTATTAGATAACAATGTCAGCATCTTCTCCCCTCTCAGCATGCTCAATAACAGAGTACCATGTTCCATTTGAATGATACATTTGCCTGGCTCTGAGTGAGCCTCCCTGACGGTTACTGTATCTTAAGACCAATGCCAGAGGGAGGAAGGGACTCATCCTACTCCTGGACGCTCCAAGAAATCCCAGACGCAAGAGCCAGCAGCCTCATCATTGAAATAAGGAGGACACCTGCTGGGTCACCCTACTGGAGTCATTTACCTGAAAGGAATGAAGCATGCTTCCCCTGACCAGCACTTCCGGGGTTGTACATGGGAACCCTGGAACTGACCCTTGAGCTGAGTCTGAAATAGCCTGGGTAGGAATGAGTTCAAGTAGGTTGACTGGTGGGCCGGGGCCAGGCACGTGAGGTGTGGGCATCACTTCACAACCTCACATTAAAGTGAATTTTGGGGGTCCTTCCTCAAACCTGAGAAGAAGCCACCTTTCCTGTCAACATTGTCTCCTGGTGAATCGGGCAATCAAATCCCAGTTGTTGAAGGGCCGAGACAGCCAGAGAGCCAGGAGTAAAGTCACCAGAGCCAGCTGGGAGTCTCCTGGGACCACTGAGGCAACCCCCTGAGTGCAAGCCTCCCAGCAGGGCTGCAATGAGTCTCTCTAGGACCAGGTAAACGGTGAATGGCAGAGGTGCTGGCCTGAGAGAAACAGGGACGCTCAAAACCTCACTTCTTCCCCAAAGCATCTATAGCCAAGAAAGGGGCATGGGTCTGCGGGAGCCCCCATGGGGTCCAGTCCTTGTGGGCATTAATTTTTTTTTTTCTTGAGACAGGGTTTCTCTATGTAGCCCTGGCTGTCTTGGAACTCAGTGTGTAGACCAGGCTGGTCTGGAACTCAGAGATCCGCCTGCCTCTGCCTCCCGAGTGCTGGGATTAAAGGCGTGTGCCACTGCCGCCCGGTCCTTGTTCATGTATTAAACAGAGAGCAGGTAAGTGAAGGAAAAAGTAGGGCAAACTATCTCTGGTATGTTCATGTTTCTTGGATGCAGGCCAAGGTATCAAGTTGCTTAGGGGTTTACTTAACTCATTAACCAAGGGCAGCAGCCCAGAAGCAGCCCAGGGCACCCAGTGCCCATCACCCTCCAGGAAACAGCCTAATAGTGTTAGCTCAAACATGAAAAGAGCCACGTGCATAATTTCAGCAAAACTGTTGGTTTAGTTATGACGCGGTGACTTGCTGCATCTTTGAAGATTACAAGGTCAGGGAAGCGTCTGTCAGCTTTGACCATCAAGGAGACAGACACATCTTTTTGTTTTTTCTTTAATCCTTAGCTTTAAGGAAGACTCTGCCCCTCCCCGAAGCCAAACACATCCCTGTTAAAAAGACCAGAACAAAGTGCTAGGTAGAGACTTTGGAAACCGTGTCTTCCCTCTCCCGGCCCCAGAATCACAATTATGCCGCAAACTGCGTCTTAAAAGAACAAATTTCCTTGAAGTCTTTCAAGAGATTTCCTCCTGAAAGCATACCAATAAATATTTATATGAAAGAATCTCAAACACAAGATATTTTAATTCAATACAACAGGAGAAAAATTCATTTTCAGTTAACCTTTCTATATTAAAAAAACAAAGTCTGGTGTACAGTGCGTCTTCACCTTCTGAGAGGCACAGTGTACATACAGGTCCTGTGCCGCCATGCGTCACTGTGTTCAGGCACAGGGCCACAGGGAGCGACAGGCACTTAGCACTCTCCACAGGCCCCGGTGAAGGCAGAGGCTGTGTGTCCAAGAGCTCATTCCCTACATTCTCAAGGCTTTGTATTCCTGTGCCACAGGCAGCGAGCCAGACAGACCAGTGGTTTCCGCTGTGGACCTCAGCGGGAGACTGCTCTTTTGTCCTACCCTGTGGTTACCCACTGCTTTTGAAGATGACGAGAGAGTCAGAGCTCATGCACTCAACTGTTTACCTGAGAATACTTAAAGATTTCCTAACCCACGTGTTACAGTAAAAATTGTACACTTTGCATTACAAATCAAAATCTCCATAATTTCACAATTTCCAGGTGTTAAGAATTTTTTATTTGAACACCGTGTAAAGCCCTCTCAAAACCCAGTAAGTAAACTTACTCTAGTTTGAAAAGATAAACAGCTCGGTTGATGGGTGGCTAGACTGATGGGTGGACAGGTGGACAGGTGAATGGAGACACCGGGCTGGCTGGCTTGGTGGTGGACAGACAGACATGTAGCTGTAGACAGATCTTGTAAACTTGTTCCATTAAAGACATCAGCACTCGGACACTACATATGCATCAGGCCATTCCACTGTGCCACAGGACATTAAGAGGGACATCCAGTTACATGAAGCAGCAGACCGACCACACTGAGAAGCTCAAGGACAGTGTGACGGGAGGCTATTAATTTTTAACCAAAACAAAGAGACATACACCTCCTCTGTCAAAGCACTGTAACTGAAGAGCAAAAACACGTGCAAGACCTGTTGTGGACTGTCCCCTACAGAGCCACCAATCCTGCCAACACCCAGGACCGCGAGCGAGGACAGTCACCAGCGTAAGACAGGCAGGGTGGGGAAGGAGACAACACTTCTTATAGATCTAATGTCAATCATAAAAGTATCTCATTTTGAAAAACTAAACATCTGAGGATACTAGAAAAGAGGCACTTCAGTATTTTATATACAGTTTTAACTCTACAGTGAGCAGGTTGATGTTTTCTGAGCAAAGCTAAGATTATTGGGTGACTAACATTCACTCATATATTTCTTTAATCTTTAAGTTGAAAATCAACATTTTTTTTGATGAAAACAAAGATCCGTATTTAAAAGTCCAAAAGTAAAAATAAAATTCCGTAAGAGAACCAGTTGCCACCCAAGCTCACACTGGAGGCCACTCACTCCTCCTCAGCAGCAGATGGGCCACTCAAAATGCCCTGACATTCTACTTCGAACCACCTTGGTTGCTTCCAGCATCTAGATTTTTGTTTTGTTTTGATCTTAATAAGGGAAAAATGAACCTGCTGTTCAACTGAATTACTGTAACTTTGGAAGGTGCTTCTCGTATTCTGACAAAGGGAGAAGGTACCACAGAGGCCACGTTCACGCTCAGGTCACATGCACGGACAAGATGTGGAGGTTCTTCAGAGAGAAGTGACTGAGGCTGGCTTGAAGCCTAGAGGGGACTGCGAGTCGTTATTCGACCTCACAGGACAGTGTCTGCAATGCACATGTCCTTTCGGCGTACGTCCACCCAGTGGGTGGGTGTTTCCGCAATAAGGCAACCTGACGTCACCGGGAAGCCATGGCGCATGTGGGTCACTGAGCACGAAACACAAGCAACTCAGCGGATCCCGTTCCTTGACTATGAGAGGGCTCAACAGATTAATGGTGCACTAGTAGAAGGCCACCGGGCTTGGCCAACCCTAAAAGCAATGTGATGTCACAGTGAAGCTCCTTCGGTTCATTCCAGCTCCTCACAGGTATCTGTTAGGTGGCCCTTGCTCTGTCGCCTGATGCTGACCAGCTTCCCTGCTGACCGGAGGCTCCAGCGGGAGCTGCTAGCTGAGTTGGCCAGGCTGGTGTACTTGGTAGAGCCCTTGGTATCATCTTCCCAGCCAGACCAGGGTGGGCAGCCACTTAGACCATCCTCAGCATCGGCTGCCAAATCTTCAGCAGTAAGTTTGGGAGGCTCCCAACCTTCGATCTGGTCTGGTTTTTTCGGCTGGATATTCTGTTTCAAAACCAAAGTGTCCCAGAATCCTGATTTCTTCTCGGCCTTCAATTCTTCTTTTAGTCGCAGATTGCTTCTGTAGGTAAAAAGTTTAGTTTGGGTCACATGGATCTCATAAATCTGTCACTGTGATAAATAAAGCCCTTTTCTAAAAACCTTAAAGTGCTTAGAAAGCTAATAGAAACCTGTGCATGAGTTTGAGATAAACATTAAAAATAACAGGGGGAAGTCAGCCAGTGTAAGCTTATAGAAGCCACACTTTGGCTTTCCATGAAGCATGAACAAGGGCCAGTTCCCAGACAGGAGACTGAAGCCACTGTCAAAAGGAGCCAGCTCTCAAAGGCCACAGGAGGGAGGACCCAGACAATCCAGCCACGAAAAACCAAGGACTAGTTTAGGTTACAAATAAAGGGGAAATTCTATCCAGGAAGTGGGTTTTCAGTAGGGATGCTCATAGAGAAAGCTAATCTCCAACATACAAAGATGTCATTAGTGTCCTGACTGACTACATGTCAGCGTCACTCAGGACACTGTTGCAGACACTGGGACACAGCTGTCCTAGACCCATCAGCACATCACCTAATGACCGAGAGGACCTTTTGTGAAGCCACTGTCTCTCCCCCGCCATACACACACACATAGGAGCCCTTCATCTGCCTCAGTGAGGAAGAGCTGACATCCTCAGCCATAGGTGGTCCTCTACCAGAAGGAAACACAGCTACATGTTTCCAAGGTCACAATCTTACTATCAACAGGAAGTCCTGTTACATTTTTTTAAAGTTACATTTTTACCTCTAAATGCACTTTTAACATTCTGATGAATTTATAATATGGTAGCAACAACATATCAGTTTATACTTGGTTTAACTTTCTAGAATCTTTTGTGGTTTCCAAACAATGCTTGTGGTTTTGCTTAGTTTTGATGGTGCTGGGATGGAACCAGGCCCGTGGGCATGCCCAGTGAGTGCTCTACCACCACAGCATGCCTCAGACCAACCCTGTACATATCAACAGAGCTTCCCTTCACTTTCTGAAAATTCGTAAGCATGGCTGCAGGGTGGCTATGGCTAGTGAGTTCAACTTACAAGTTTTAGTTTTTTCCTTTGCTTTAGCATTTCAAAATGTTTCATTGGTTACATAACCCCGACCCAAAGTACATTTCACTCTACAGAGTGCACTCCATTTCTTTGTGTTCACAGAATAGAGAACTCTAGCATTCACATCTCACAGCTCGCCTAGACCTGCAGCCTAGGGCAGCAGAGGCCTCTCCTGAGGCGATGGTGGGCCCTTCTTGTTACCACAGCAATCTCTTTGCCTTGCTGGTAATGTCACCCTCTCAAGATGGCTGCTTATGACTCACCCTTTGGACTTAGGAGATTTGGACGCCTGGATCAGATGCTGTTCGTCATCTTTATTAAACAGAGAAGTTACTTCTTTCCAACCTCTGAGACTTGCTCCCTGAATAGGTGAAAAGTAAGGAGACATGTCAGACCTGATGCCGAGAATCCACAGATCTCAGTTTCCTATCCCAACAAGTCAATGTATGGATTAATGATGGCGATACACCTTGAAAGATCCAGCACCAGGTGACTTTATCACCATGTTAATGTCATAGAGTGGCTCTCTCACACCTAAATGGTATAGCTTATGACGCACACTTAGACCACATGGTGGATATCTATCTATCTATCTATCTATCTATCTATCTATCTATCTATCTATCTATCTCTATCTCCTAAGGCTGTGGATGAACCCACTAAAATACAAGGGCTGAACACAGTAAACAGATAACAGGCTGTAGCAGGAATCTTAACAGGTCTTATTAATAAAATCAAACCTGAGGCCAGGTATTGGGGTGAATGCTGGAAGATCAGAGAAGCAGAACAAGCCACAGCTACCTCACCTTGCCAATTCCTCAGCTGATCCTGCTTCCTCAGACTGGAAGCCTCTGAGTCCTCATATCCAAATGGATCTCAGCTGAACTGTGTTGTTCAAAGCCTAAAAGCTTAACCAGCCAAATGCTTCTAGTTTCTGATCTTCACGCCTTATATATCTTTTTGCTTTCTGCCATTACTCCTTGGGATTAAAGGCTCACTTCTTGGGATTAAAGGCGTGAGTCACCATGCTTGGCTGTTTTCAATGTGGCCTTGAACTCACAGAGATTCCAGAGGGATTTCTGCCTCTGAAATGCTAGGATTAAAGGTGTGAGTGCCACCATTTTCTAGCCTCTGTATCTAGTGGCTGTTCCATTCTCTGACCCCAGATAAGTTTATTAGGGTGCACAATATTTTGGGGAACACAATACCACCACAACAGGCGACACTCATGTGTCAGGTTTCAAACATGACTACCTGCATTCTGTGCTCTGCAACAGTGGGCTGGACTACGTGGTTGCCCACACCATCACCACCAACATGGAAGGAATGTGTTCTGCTGGTGACCACGGCCACAACATAACTGGCAAAGGGCATTTCCAGCCCCATTATAATCTCATGGACATGCTGACAGGAATGTCCAGGGCCAAGCACACCCTGACCCTTCCACATCTACACACAATACCTGCTCATCCATGTTCCAGGAAACCACATCCTGTAATGTGCTAGCCACTAATTATGTTCCACTTGTGGAAGGTTGTGTGAAAGAAGCTTAGTTATGGCCTGAGGAAGATTCCAGTACAGGAAGGGATCTCGTCTCTGGTGCCAGGTAGCCTGGCACTGAAGGAGTCTAATGCTATTTCAGGGGTCTCCGGCCCCAGCAGCTCTGACTAGCCCTAGGCTCCAGCATCTTGAGGGGATGGCGATGCTTGCTTCAACCTCCACAAAGACAAGCTTTGGAGAAGAAACGATGTGTTTTATTGATTCTGGAAAAGTCATTTTATACAATTTCATTTATGAAATCGGGATTGTACAACCAATATCACTGTAGATCTATTAAGTAACTTACTAGGCAGAAAGAAATATGCACAGACCCAGGTTCCCTGGAAGTCTGACTTTATTATATCTCATACATCAGCATCCCTGCTGGCTTGAGTAAAGGGAACTGTCATAGGGCAAGGGGATATATATATATATATATTTGGTTTTTCGAGACAGGGTTTCTCTGTGTAGCTTTGCACCTGTCCTGGAACTCACTCCGTAGCTCAGGCTGGCCTCGAACTCACAGAGATCCGCCTGGCTCTGCCTCCCCAGTGCTGGGATTAAAGGCGTGGGCCACCAATGCCTGGCTAAAATATTTTGAAATGTTAAAAATACAGAAAGAGAGCCATAAAAATGGAACCGAGAGGCTGTGGAGACCTCTGATGTGAGACAATATAATGTAAATTTTCAGTGAACCCATCAAGACAGCACAAGTAGAAAGCCGTCAAAACACACCCAGGAGCCACGACTTCACTGTGCCCTGGTCAGTCTAGACTTTAGGAATGCCCTCTGGGCAGAGGTCTGTCTCCAACCGTCAAGCCCTCCACCAAACCCACTGTGTTAGAATCCTAAGTGGTGTAGCCATGCCGAAGAATCACTGCAGCAGAAACAGAAACAAAAACTTAGGCATGAGACGCTGGTTTGCTGTTCCAGGTGCCTGATGCAGACACCTACGGAGCCACGGAAGTCACGGCACTGCCGGGGAAGGCTTGCGTCTGTCCTGTGTTCCTCAGATCAGGGCGAGGGGGCCACATCAGTCTACATGAATCAGGCACAGAGTCCTGGTCTGATCCACTTGTGCCTAGCACCAACTGTCCCCAAAGCACCTCTCTGGAATCCAGTCAGAGACCCGCAGAACAAACACCGTGACTCCCCGCGAGGACACAAACTGTGGGGCCTCAAGTCACTTGACTGAAGCAGTATCTACAAAACACAGGAAGCCTGAACCAAGTGTTTTGGGGGTATTATGTCCAGCAAGCCCAGACCCTCCAGGGCAGACACCACAAAGCACAAACCTCCACCAAGCCAGGCCAGCTGACTCACTTGCTTGCCCTTCCCCAGCTGGGGCTGCACATTCCAGGGATCCCTGACCATGGTTGCCAGGGAGCCGGTCTGCATCGTAAGACAAGTCAGCAAGAGAGGGAACTCGGGAGCTTTGCTTGCCGCCCAATGCCTGTTTGCATTGGTGTTATTAGGACGGAGCCTGCAGCAGCCAATGGGATTGAAACAAGTAGCCTTGATGAGGGAAACGGAACAAATGCAGGGAAAATACACCCAGAGAGGAAAGCTTCCTAGAAATACAGCGAATGGTAAAGCACTTCTCAGGAAGGATGAGCGGATGTTCCTCCCTCAGAGTCTGAAGAGCGAACACAGAGTCAGAGCCCTGGGGCTGTGATAGGATGTCACAGCTGTAGTTGATTCAGATAGGTTAAGAGGGCCAGTGGCCAGCTGTGGGCAGCTGGAGCCTGCAGCACTTCCTGTCCACCTGCCTCTTCACCAGCTAGAGTTCTCTAAAGGTGGGCCTTCCCAGAGCCCTCTGGGGTGACTTCAAGTATGCACCATGCCAAGGGTAGCAGAGTTTACACGCAGAACAGGGTGGCTTAGGCCACCCTGGGCAGGTTTCAAGGCTAGAAGTCTCCTCTCACTTCTTCTGGCCTGTTAGCATTCTTCTTTATCAACTCCACAAACATTAGAAACATCTCAGTCAGTTTTCCCATCATCTCTTGGACTTGGACATTCTCTGGGTCCTTTCTCAGCGAGGGGTGCCCTCACCTCAGCTGAACACTCTTTCCAAGATTGCTAGCTGGTACATCCTGTGTGGTGTCAAGTCTGCCCAGGCTGAAGGGGTTATTCACATTTGTTAAGTTTATACATCTTCCTGGATTAGGACTCAATGCTGGTGTTTTTCCCTTGGGTTAGTTCTATTTTTTTGGAGACCCCACAGCAGCTTGCCACATCTACACCATGAGCAAGCCCTGACCGAAACACCAAGTATTAAATACTAGTCATTCAAAGCATTTTGGGGAAGCAGTTGACCCTGAGGCTAAAGCCACATAAATGCCCTAGCCACCTGAGGATACTGGGCAAGAGTCTCCCAGGAGTCAGGAACAGAGTACATCTTAGCAAGAAGCATGCAGCTGTATCATACCTACCCTGCCCCATAAGAAGATCTGTTAATACATCAATTCATTGAATCTGACCAAACATACCAGACAAGAACTTACACAAAGCTAACAAGGCACCGGTGTTCCCTGGTCCCTATGCAGGGCACATCCAGCAAAGTCTGGATTCCACCACCAGTCCAATGGCTAAGTACTTTATACGGTGGGATGGCAATGAAACACCATCGAGGGTTTTGAACCACAGCACTCGCCCACACACTTGCTGAGAGCGAGGGCCTCTCACCACACATCAGTACCCAGCACTTTGCCAGGCAGGGCAGTGCTTCTGACTCCCTGGCCCTGAGCTGCAGAACAGCTTCTCCAGAGGGTGGAGATATATAGAAGAACTGTCCTTTCTTCCTTCTGGGTGCCTCCACTACTGTGGTGCACAAGTTTCGGGATCCCTCGAAGGTCACGAGCTCTAAAGTACCACACTCCAATCTCCATCTGGCACGGAAGACTTCCATTACAGCATCATTCTCACCTGCTATGGGAACAGGGTAGTGCTCATCTTCAGGGGCTCCAGGCAGCTCCATCCCCTGGATGCTGTGTTCTGTGGATCTATGAATCCCCCCCCCCACCCCCCCACCCCCCCCCCGTCCCAGCTTATGGGAACATCATTGGCCCTGTATCCACTGCCCCGCTGCAGCAACTGTGTGTTCTGAGTCGGCCCAGTAGCCAAGGCCCTACCCAGTCCTGTGACATTCCTCCTACACGGTGCACACAGAGGCAGAAAGGGCTTCTGAGGTGATGGATCTTGACCCTTCTCACTGCTGGGGGAGAGACGGCATTGCAGTGTCCTTGATCAGGCGAGCCCGTCTGCCCTGCCCCAGTGATCCTGGAAGGGCATGCCAAGCTCAGACACCTCCCCTCTGGGAGGAGCCTTCCCTGTGTTTCACCCAAGGAAAAATCTCACAGGAACACCCCACAGAAGTGGTGGAGCAGGTGGCCTTGGGGGAGACACTAATAGTTCAGGGGCCTAAGATGTGGACCTGAGGTGGGGCTGGCCTCGGTGGGGTAAGTGTGCACCCTCTACTGTGTGGGCCACTAAGAAAGTCTCTTCTGAGCTTTCTGCCTTTTGGCTACTCTTAGGGAAGATATGACACACCTAAGCAGCAGCCTCCAAATCGGGAAATCAGTGACATTGACGCCAGCAAGGAAGAAGAACGGAGGCAACAGAAACAAGGGGGTGAGTCCCATCAGAGGAATGGAAAACCATTTTCTTCTAGCAATTCTTCAGTCCGAGCAGATAAGCTGACATGGGGGAGTGGAAGGATGCCACTCAGCTCATGGGGACTCTTGCTGGAGGTGAAGCCACGGGCCTTTTCAAGGATGCGGAAGAGCCCTGGAGATTCCTGCAAGTCCGAGGGTGCATCACCAA